CGCCAAAACCTCTTCCTGTCGGCAGTTCTGCTGCACAAGTTGAAAAACACCCTCAGCAGCAAGAACTCTGTAGTTTGAAGAATGTTTGGAGTCTTGCACGCCCATATACTCAAGATGTCCCTTGGCGAAGGCACACATGGCGTGCAGGACGGGCGAGTTATCGGAGCATAGAGGCAGAATGAAACCCTGAAAAAGATTGTCTGGCTCTTCCGTGAAGACGATCAAATGAGAAAGAACACTAGAGAAATGATGAATGAGTTTCCTTTCGTGGGCGCAGTCTGTAAGGTTTGAGAATGACGGTTGCGGTATTTCGAGGCCAGACAGCAGAGACGCGATGTCGATGGTGCTGGACTGGGATAACTCTGCGTTAAGCGGGACAAAGTCGAACCGTGAGCTACTCAGTGAATCGCTCTCTCGATCAAAATTTGCGAGCTGATCAACTGGCTTGTCACAGAAGTCGAATTGGCTGAAGCTGGCCCATTCTGGTGTCTCAGGGGGTGAGTGACTTGATGTAGAGTGAGCATCCCTTGGAGGTTCAGTGAAGCCGCCATCCGAGACAGTCTCTAAAGATCGTCTCGATTTAAAGTGTTGCGTTGGAGAAACACTACGGGGAGTCTTCGAGGCTATCCCGTTGGCATGTTTGCTGCGACGTGGCTCGACAGGGTTGTAGATGCACTCCAACCCTCTCTCAGTGCAGCGTGTGCATCGAGGCTTCCGCTCGCAGCACTTTTTTCTCGCTTCTTTGCTGGGAAGGTGTGAGCAGCTACCAATCAGCCGAGGCATGAGATCACCTACCAACTAGAGCAACCTATATGTCGACACTGTCAGCTATATGTTCCATCCCGTCTTCGGTACCCGTGCGACTACGTACCTGTCCTTGCTCTCTTCTTCCTGATCTTTGGAGGCATAGGCTTTGTAAAGAGCAGCATGCTGTATGATGTGAGGATGATTTCTTGTTGGAAGAGAAGTCAATCATAGATGTATTGATGAGAGTGTGTCTTGTATTCAAACACAGCCGTCGGAAAGTGGCGCAGCTCGAGCTGACCTCAAGCACAATTTAAAGTATCTGCCTTCGTGGAAGATGGCGGAAGAGTGTGGTGCGTAAGCGATGGCAATAACCTTCTTCGAAAAGTCTTCTATGCGAACCTCACCGGTAAAAGGATCTGCAGGAAATCGCGTGCCGATATTATTGCCATGTGGGAAACATGTGGCCAAGATGCATCATGCAGGAAGAAGCGGCCCAATTCGGATTGCTTGATCTCTACCCCGCCAATTTCAGAAGACGAGGCGTACCTGTACGACTACGTTGTGAGGTTAAAGCAGGTGTAACTTGACGTTTCAGAGTCTTGTAGACAAGGATGTGATATTAACCGCTTCTCTTGCTCCGGCAAATATCCCCTCGGGGCGCCCGTCAAGCTGAAAAGTTACGATCATTACCCTCATTGGTATTGAGGCACGCAAGATGACGGCCACTCAACCCTTGCTGGGAAGGTGTGCCCGCAGGAGGGGAAAGGATTCCTCGATCGGTTGCCTAAACCTCTTTCTAGAAGACGTCCATGCTTACACAAAAGGTCAAAGAGTCGTCTGACCAACCTCTGTTGGCTGCCACTCAACCTGCAAGATTCTGGGTATAATGGTCTCGCTATTCCCTTCCTGTCTCCAAGGTTGTATGTAACTTGTCTAGCGCAAAACTGCCAGACACGCGTGAACCATCTCTCGTGTGATCCAACATGCATGGGCATGGATCTGGAGGGACATGGTATACGTTTTAGGGACGTCAACAAGGCCTCAGGCAACTGTGCGACTGTAAAATCGAGTAGAGAAGGCGTGAAAAGATTCTCATTTGAAGGCCGCAGGCGGGGAAAGATATATCCCACCGGCTTCAACGGTGGTGATACGACCTTGCAGTGATGGCAATGATGATAATCACCGGGGAACCAATCAAGCCGTTGAGCGGACAAAAGCTGGGGAAATAGGCGCATGTTCTAGGCGATCATTCATGTCTACCCCAGCTTTCACCCCACAAACCGGTATTAGTCCAAGCCCTCCGCAATGCTCATTGGCGCGCGTCGAATCCTGATGCCAGCCACAAATCCAAGATGTGGCTCGGAAGGGAACCATTGGAGCGCAAGAGAAGGATCCGGAAATGGTGTCTACGTAACAGATTCAGCTTTCTGCAGTAAGAAGGGGGGGGCGTAGCGGGCGTTCTATGTTCCTGACTGCGCCCGTCGCGCATCAAAAAGTGTATAAGACAAATGTGGAGGCCGTAATGTGAAAGCTTTGACCCTGCGAAGTTGCATATGCGCCTGCAACCCAAGGCGCCGCGATGGCCATCGTTTACTTCGAGACAAGCTGGGCCATCTTGAGCACTATCGGCGTGGCCAACACACTTTTTGGCTTCATCATTGCTGGCATCACGGCCTTTTCGCCCGTATCACTTATACCCATTGTTGTTTCTGTCGCAGGCTCTATCGCAAATGGGTTATGTTATTACAGCTTCTATGCAGACTACCCCATTTTGAATACGGCGGTTGCGTCTGGTGTTGCGGATGTCATGTGGATGGTACGCCGCGTTTGCATTTTCTTTTTAGTAAAGGCTCATATGGATAGACTTCAATCTAATTTAACTTCAGATTCAAGAAGCAGGCATTTCATTCTACAGTTATGCTATTCTCACCCGCGTTCTGCGCAGCCGCGACCGTATCATTTTCATGACTCTTTTCTGGATAGTGATAGGGGCCATCTTTGTTCTCAGGATGATGATACTGGTTTCCCGGGTGAAGATACTCGTGAACGGAGAGTCTGATCTAATGCCGACCATCAACGGTCTCCATGTTGGCTATTTCTCATCCTTAGCTGTGCTTGAGTGTCTCAGCGCTTTCTTCCTCCTGCGCAAGTTTGCGGCGGCAAAGTCGATATCGCAAGGGGCATCAATCGCGCCGACTCTCTTCCAGCATTTGATGCGAAGCACAGAGATCCGCCTTGCCATCCTGGCATTAATCGGAGTCACGAGAGCAGTCACCTACTTTTTCCAGCCCGCAGTTCAGCAAGCCCGGACAGTGGCAGGCCAGATCGACAGATTTGTTTACACACTTGAGTGTATGTTTCCGGTGATGATCTTGTAAGCTTTACTGTTCATTGACTTAGTTGATTTGAAGGACTAATTTCCGTTGTAGCATTGACATCCTGGCATCCCGTCTTGTGCATGAGCAAACGACTCATGAGAATTCTTCTTTTCGGCTTGCGAATAGGCGAAACTCAAGTCAAGAGCGTCTGCCTTCAGCTGGAGACAATGGTACACAAGTCGCCTCCGTATGGAGCGGTGGAAAGAGAGTAAATTTACAGGTTCGAAGGGAGTCCGGAACAAGCCGATCGTCGCTCTTCCCGCCAGAGAACGTGAGCGACGGCTCCGACAGGAGTACCCGCGATTTTGGCATGATTGATTATACTATCACCTCAGGGATCACTAAAACAATCGAGATCAAGGTCGAAAACAGTGCTCGCAAGCGGTCACAAGATGCTGCAGAGACGGACTCTACCTGAAATATTCCCGAGCCTCATAATATAATCACTCTAATGTTGAGCTTGATGTTTTGTCTTCAACCTACCTCAAGATGAGACTATTATCACTTGGACAAAAATTTCCGTTGCTTTCAAAAGCAAGGTCCAGGCAGCGAAAGCGAAGCAGCGAGCTTGCAGCTGGACTACGAATATGACATCTAGGCTCTAACAACATCAACCTCAACTACGGAAGCCCACAAACGCCCACCAAATAGAGAATGAGAGCGACTCTGATCACGAAAACTATGGATGGACCCACTTTGATAATAGACTGGATTTGATTGTAATCAAGCGGGCAAAATACTTTGAGAGGCGTTGGCTCTCCACACCCATCTACGCGCATCCTTGAGCCTCGGAAAATAATGCGGCAGTTGTAATTTTGACTTAGAAGCAGAAGTATGAATACTTCTATGATATAAACAGGGCCTTCATCGAAGGCCCTGATGCTGCAATGCCACGATTAATTTTTATCTCTAACCCTCAATGTCTCGTTGGTGATTAAGCCAGGGGTAGAGACACGACATCGCCAAGCCTCATTGATTGACCTTTGGGGCTGCCGATTACAAAACCGAAATGGTCTCACCGGAATCGAGAGACTCAAGAGGGGTTACAAAAATCCAAGGTTACATTGCAGCTCAGGTTTTGCTAAACGGGCCCATGATCTACCTACTCGGCCTTCTTCTACATCCTACTAAGGCGTTCGGGTTCAAGTCATAGTATGTGCCATGTAAACTGGCTAGACACATGCGAGGAAATGCTACTGGCTTTGCATTGTGAATAATTTTTCGGCGTCTATACCGAGACTGAAACGATTCGTCATGAGGCAATGACTGTAGGGGACAAGCTCTAGTAATTGAGGTGGCTGGAGTGGGCAAGGCAGGTAAATATGTGACAACTGGTCACATGAGGGTACCTCTAATGTCGGTTATTAACAAGGTCCAGTATTTTTTGTGTTCAAGTGGGTAGAGAAATAGACTTGAGCATATTCCGTGAAAAAAAGCTTCCCAAGATCTGCAGCGTGCCCTTCGCTGCTGGTCTGCCGAGACCAATACCGTCGCCTCTTCCGCATATCTGTGCAACCTCGTGGTACCCGCAGTAACGGTAGGATCCGATTGACGCGGTTGGTCATTGCAAGTTTTATCCGCACCCGGCGTAGTGCAGGTGGACGGAGAAATACTTATGTTACACCAGCATCTACTTGTGGTATAACATTTCTATCAGATAGAATCATGCAGGCTCTAGTCGTACGATGGACAATGCTAAAAGTTACAATCAAAATTGCATATATTACGCAGGGAAATATACTATATCAATAGTCTTTGGACTCGTAACTCAACATCACACTACTTTCAGTTTATCAGATCAACTTGCGAATGCCATCACTCTTTCGAGAACAATCGCACTGGAAACACTCCATCACTGGAAAATACTTCTTCATGATGACGAATCCCCACAGCTGGTGTTTGAAGCACGCTCTGCTGCTTTCTTCGGTCCTTCTTTGCAGTTTCGGCACGGTTCAAGCTGACAACCCTATTGTTCAAACGTCCTACACTGCGGATCCTGCTCCTCTGGTTGTCAACGACCGAGTCTATCTTTTTACTGGCCACGACGAGGATGGCTCAACAAACTTCGACATGAGAGAGTGGCTTCTCTTCTCCTCGGCGGACATGGTCAACTGGCAACATCATGGCAGCCCCATGAATATCAGCACATTTTCTTGGGCTAGTGCCAATGCCTGGGCCGGCCAGGTCATCGGCCGGAATGGGAAGTACTACTTCTACGTTCCGGTGACCAGTCACGAGGGGCTCATGTCCATCGGCGTTGGTGTCAGCGACAGTGTCACTGGCCCATTTGTCGATGCTATCGGTGGCCCTCTTCTCGCCAATGGCCAAATCGACCCGACCGTGTTCATTGACGATGACGGACAAGCCTACATGTTCTGGGGCAACCCGGATCTGTGGTATGTCAAGCTCAACGAAGACATGATCTCATACGGCGGCGAAATTACAAAGGTCGAGCTTACGGTTGATGGGTTCGGCGCTCGGAATGACACTACAGGGCGTCCTACAGCCTTTGAAGAAGGTCCCTGGGCCTACAAACGAGGAGATCTCTACTACATGATCTATGCAGCTGTTTGTTGCCAGGAGGATATTCGTTACAGCACGGGACCTACCATCACGGGGCCATGGACTTATCAAGGCATTGTCATGCCCTCGGAGGGCGGCAGCTTTACAAACCATCCTGGTGTAGTTGATTTCAGCGACATCTCATACTTCTTCTACCACAACGGCGCTTTACCAGGTGGAGGTGGGTTTACTCGATCTGTTGCGGTCGAGAGCTTTCGCTACCTGTCCAATGGATCTATCCCAGAGATGAAGATGACTACCGAAGGCCCGGCTCAAAGAAAGGGCGTAAACGCTTTTGAAAGACAAGAGGCAGAATTGATTGCTTGGTCTCAGGGCATTGAAGTGGAAGTCTGCAGCGAAGGTGGTATGGCTGTTGGCTTCATCAACGATGGCGACTACATCAAAGTCAAGGGCGTCGAATTCGGAAACGGAGCGGCAAAGTTTACTGCTAATGTATCATCCGCAACCGCCGGTGGTCACATTGAGATACGCCTTGACAGCTTTGATGGGACCCTCATCGGCACGTGCGCTGTTACGGGCACTGGTGGATGGCAATCATGGACGACCGTGACATGCCCTATCACCGGCGCTGAAGGTAGTCATGATCTCTACTTCAGCTTTACTGGAGAGGGAACCGACTATCTGTTGAACTTTGACTGGTGGCAGTTTGAGTAACAGAGCCGAGCACCGCTGTCTCACCTGCTTGCCAAGTGACATCAGTCAGCAGAGGCTCTACCCCGGCTGCTCTCCTTGAGCTTCCCTTCCTTCTACTAAACCTGGATACTATATACACACCTAAAATATTAAAAATATTGATTATTTTTTTTACTCTAGAGCTAGTACTTCGTAAGAGAATATACACTATGCTAATATCTTAAAGTACTATTAAGTATATAATACTTATGACAGCCTAATGAGTTATGCTTAGATTAAGTACGGATCGACGTCTGTACATGTTTTATATTATAGCTATCAAATATTATCAAATCGCGCTCTATTTTATTTTAAAGTGATAAGAAGAAGGATATACTAATAGTGAGCTTTTGGGGTAGAACTTAGATTTGTTTGCTTAGGTATAGAGTTATAGTACTAGAAGAATTATCTAAAAAAGATGAGATTAAGCTTTGTATTTTTATAACTAAAGTTTGTTTTTAAGTTTAGATTATATAGTTATGTTTTGTATATTAGTTGCGAATGCTAATTAATTGAATAACTATAATTATTAATAACGATTGATTATCTTGATAATAAGCATAAGAAGATAAGTATTAATCTCGTTATCAGTTAGTTGAATATCATGACTACGATTCTATTAGAACTCTACTATAAGCCTTCAAACCTTTACTGATTTGGTTCTTCTTTGATATTAAGGTATCCAGGGGCTAGGACGATCGTGTTAGCACGAAGACTCCCGGCGATGTAGACCCACTACTTTAACACACTCGGCAGATCTATATCCTCCGCAGACATGTCGCCGTGTCAGGGTTCGTGGACTGAATCTAGAATCTGCTCGGCACATCTGCCACCGGGACGTGGGCGGGGTAGCTCCGCGGAAGAATGTCACGAGGACCCCTAGCCCAGAATATTTTCGGTTGACAAAGCTGCTATTCGAGCCATCTGGATACATAAACTTGAGATATTTTCATTCGGTCTCTTCTTACCACCCTCGCATGAAGGAATACAGAGGCTATAGCGAAGGCCAGCTGACGCCAGGTTTGAAACCTTATCCCAGTTTCGGATACCGATCTACAATCGAGTCGATTAGCCTTGGGTCTCCCTCTCTTCATGAAGCGGAAACCATGGCGCGGCTTCAGGGTCTTTGTGCTACTTTGTTATGGTTATATCAGGTTAACAACGTGATCTCTCAATGTTCAGGAGATTTTCAACCCATCTCAGCATCTGAGTTTACTGCTCAGCTTCAGCCCGGATGGAATTTAGGGAACACCCTCGATGCTTTCCCGAATGAAGACAGCTGGAACAACGTACCAGTGGTTGCAGGAACCTTTGATGATGTGAAGGCTTTCGGTTTTAACAGCGTCCGCATCCCAGGTATGTTCTTGACAGCCAGCCCTCCTGTGGGCGACACCCGCCTCTTTTTAGCATATGCTTAAAGACACAATGTACCTTATTAATCATAACAGTCACTTGGATGAACCATTTCATCGGCTTTTCAGACCAGGGAGACTCTCCTGATTGGACAGTAGATCCTGAATGGCTCCAACGAGTTGCTAATGTCGTCGACATGGCCACGTCCCGGGACCTCTATGTCATCATTAATGTTCACCACGACTCGCACTTTTGGGCGGATCTGACAGTAGCAAACGCTAATTATAGCATGATAGAGGAGAAGTTCTACAGGCTCTGGTACCAGATTGGTACCAAACTCGCCTGTACCCCATCCCTCGTGGCATTTGAACCACTAAATGAGGCTCCTGGAGACACAGCCGAGATTGCGGCCGAGCAGAACAAGCTGAATAACATATTTCTTCAAGCAATCAACGACGCCGGCGGATTTAATTCAAAGCGTGTCGTTACACTAAGTGGGCCCGGCCAGGATATCGTTCGGACAAGCCTCTGGTTTGAGCCGCCTGACTCGAAGTACACGAATCCCTGGGCCCTCCAGGTGCATTACTACAACCCTTGTAAGCCATCACCGGCCTGCCCCTTTATCTGTGTACTATGCTACAAATGCAAGCACTGTCTGACATGGATCAACTAGATGATTTTACGTCAGCCGCATGGGGAAAAACCATATGGGGCTCAAGTGTCGACCTTGCCGCATTCGAGACCGATTTTAGTAGGCTCCACGACAACTTCACCGACGTCCCGATTGTTGTTGGCGAGTGGCTTGTGAGTCCGGTACATTCGGAACCCGCAGCACGATGGAGATACTACGATATCATCGGACGACTCTCCAGAAAATACGACTTTGCTCCAATTGTGTGGGATACCGGCAACGATCTCTTGGACCGCAGTTCACACACCTGGTACGACGCAACCGGCCTCAACCTTCATTTCAATGCTTTAGCTGGCAATCTCAATGCTCTGCCCGACTCAACCCTGGACACTACGGCGACTAGTCAATTCAGCTCGGCGTTTGTTTTTCACAAGGTCGGAACCGCTGTCGAGAGCGTGTCCCTCTCCTTCACATTCAACGGAGACTCCGTCCAGTCCATTACCACGGCGGACGGGGCCAGCCTCACGCTGAATTCGGACTACACCGTCAACGAGACTGAGATCACGCTATTTGTATCATTCCTGTCCCCCTACTTCGATGTTGCTGGCCCTTCAGGCATCAAGACCACGTTGTTGGTTTCTTTTGCCAGCGCGCCGAGCATCCCGATCCAAGTCGTGCAGTGGGATACGCCCACGCTCCCATTGTCCAGCACTACGGCGACTTCGGCTAGTAACATCGACGTAGAAGTGAATTGGAACAGCGTCGGGAAGCCCGCGACGGTAGCAGCTTTCAAGAGCGATGGCACACCGTTAATGGACGAATGGACTGTGGTGTTGCCGCCTCTGCAGCGGGGGAGAACAACACTTGGCAGTGGTTGGGGCTGGAGTTGTGAGTTCTCTGACTCGAAGCACGTTCCGTCCAGGAAGTCTACTAACTTCAGTAGGGGGCCAGCAGGGAGTCACAATTGCTACGGCTGCTGTATCCGCCGCCATTCAATCGGGCATGACAACAACCTTTATGCTGGAGTCGTACCCTCGCGTTCTGGGCAACTATGCTAACTTCACTTTGTACGTTTGACAGAACTACTATCGGGCTTCTTACTCTTGTTATCAAATGGAAGAGAGAAACAAGAGCTTTGTAAATCTTCTTAGTGGTACATCATGGATGACAGCACATAGCCAAGGCAACCGAGGTCCTCGTATGATGGATTACGGTTTCTCAATTCAATGGACTCGACTAGACCATAACTCCAGTTCCAAGTGAACATTCTGTATCTCAGCACCCATGTCATCTGCCTGCTAGTAGTGGACGATTTGTAGGTTTCTTCTGCACTGCGCAAGCGTCCGTCCAAGGTTTCCTACCTCATTCACCTACATGTGCCCACGATTCTATTGTCTGAAAATATGTGAAGGCTAAACCGTACCTTTCAAACTTGCTCTCCGACTATTACATTCAGATATGCCTAAATTTCCATGGCACTGTTACATACATCAATACGTACGTGGAATGGATGACTGCAACATTAAGTCTCATATCCTACGGAACATAGAGCTGCCCGAACTTTCAGCTGTGGGTCACCTTCCCCCTTTCACAATGCCTTAAGTTGAATGCTCGCATCCCAATCTGGGAACGATCCTTCCCAGTTGCTGGAAGTTCGGCGCAGGAGGCCGACCTCAATGAGTACGTCTGTCAGGGTCCTGAGGCAATCGAAACTGCGTAAATGACCGGCGCTGTACCAAAACCGCCAAGAAAGACGTAAAGCGAGGAGATGGTGTCGCCGTCAAAGCTTTTGAAGTGCCTGATACTGGCCGTCAAACTTAGCAGGGCTTCTCAAAGCTGCGAGTTTCCTTCGGGTGCCTCGCCCACCCCTGAACCGATAAATACGTACGCTGCTAGCTAGAGAACCACGCCTCGGACTCTTTCGTCCCGATCATAGAATCAGAAGAACCCAGCGAGATTAAGGAGCAAACTTTTCACACCCTCTTCCCTGCAGATCGGAGCGGGGAAGGTGGGATGTATGAAGGTGATAACAGGTATATGAGTCTCAGCTGACAGGTTTCGTGGATTATTTACCCCGAGAAAGCGGGATCTTGGGCATTGGGAATTTATTTCAAGGGATTTGAAGCTGGGGAAAAGCGGGACAAGGGGTGCGATGTGACAGGCCAACGGACAGGTGCGATTCGGACGTTGTCTTAAGGGCAAGGCACATGAGAGCCGGGAGTGTATCCAGTAGAGATGGGAATTCGGCCCTATAATAATGCACTAAACGTTAAGATATTTCAGTGACGCTGTTCGTCTCAACTGCCTTCTACTTCTAATTAGACAAAATATGTTTGTAATATATTTAAAGAAAAGCACGAACTGGGCTAGTTAAGCATAACCTATAAATTTTAGATTCCGTTCTTTAACAATTTAATATCGTATAAAATCATAAGTTAAAGAGTTTCTTAATTAACTTATTAAGATATCTAAGTAAAAGACTATAGGTAAAGTTTTAAAGAGAAAAAGAATTATAAAAAAGTATTAATAATAAGATAACTTAATATTTAATATATTAACGTAGTTATATAAAGATAGTTTAATAAGCTTATTCTATAGTTAAATAGGAATTTTATAAAAATAATTAGTTAATTAATTAAAAATAAGAGCGTATACTTAGAATACTTTTATTTATTTATATTAAAATAGATAATCTCCTAGGCTAAGTAAAAGTAAAGTATGTTAATTCTTTAGAGCCCTATTGTCGGATTAGAAGTCTAATTTAACCGCAGTATACGGCCAACTGCGCAGGGGCCAACTAGGGGCCCTATTTATAATTATCGTAACTAGCTTAACTTATAATTAGAACCTCCTTTTTATACTTATATAAAAGTTAATATAGTTTAATTAATCTCTTTATTAACTTATAGTTCAAATTAACTACTCTATAATAGGGATATTAATACTAATTAGTAATTAAATTCTATTATTATAGATTAGTAAGGTATTTTATTATATAAAAAAGACGACTTTTTAATATTATATAGGATAAGAGATTTATATTAATTAATTTTATAAAAATAAATAAAAAAAGAGGCGATTTTTAAATACCGTACGGAATTAAGTAATTATAGCCCTTTATTACTTATGAGAAGTTAACGTTTATTATATTAAACTATATTAATTAATAAAACTACTTAAGTAATTAGTTTTTTTATTTTTATTTTAAATAGCTTTTTTATTAAATAACTTCTCTACGGCCGGCTTATAATTAAAAATTAACTAGTTAAATTAATAAAAAAAAATACTTATATAATAACTACCCGCTTAGTTAATTAGTATAATAAACGAGCTTAATAATACGATATAAAAAAGTATTATATAATTAAAAAAAAGGATTTTTAAATATAAATATTTTTATTTAATAATAAAAGTAATTTTATAAGAGTTATAAAGCTAAAAGATTTATAATATATAAAAAGGTTTATTATTATAAAGGTTTTATAAATATAATTATAAGTTCGTAATCTAAATAACTTTTTTATTACTCCCTTAACTACTCCCCGAGTATTATTTAGGAATATAATAAAGGGGACGGTTTAATAAAAGAGGAGGGGATTTAGAAATCCTAATAATATTAAGTTAAAAATATTATAGATTTTAAAAATTAACTTAAAAAAAAGGCGGTTATTTTAAAATAATCTTATAACTTTTTATTATAATTATTATTAACTTAAAAAAAAGCTAAGAAAACGAGGATTTAAAGAGAAAAAAAAGAAGTTTTTAGAGGACTACTAAGGAGTTTTTTTTTTATACTAGCTCTTAGTATAAAATTATTAAGTTTAAAAAATTAACTAAGTAATAAAAGGAATTATTAATAAGTAATAATTACTTAATAATAATTAAGTTATAAAAAAAACTACTTAAGAAATATAAAATAGGGTACTAAAAAGTAATTAAAAAAAAGATTTTTAAAATAATTAGCCCTACTTAGTACGAGTAGTGAGTAGTATTTTTAATAAGTTTTTTAAATCTATAATTTTATAAAAAGGAGGGCTTAATTTTATTAACTATACTTAATTATTTATTTAGCTCTTAATAGCTTATTTAGCTCTTTTATAAGCTACTTAATATCTATTTTTAATTGTTTTTTTTAAAATACTATTTTAAAAAGAATAAGTTAAAAAAGGAAGTAATTTAGAAATTATAGAGAGTATGAGGTTTAAAAAATTAAAAATATATAAAATAATAAAAATTAGTAATTAGTAAAAATCCTAAGACTAATTATTATATTTTTTTATAATAATATAAACGTTTACTACTATTATTAAAAAAGGAACTATTAAAACTTACTTTTTTTATATTAAATAAAAAAGAAGATTTTAGTTAGTATAATAGTTAGTAATTTAAAAAGTAATAGTAATTACTAAAAATAATAAAAACGAGAGTAGTAGCGAGGTAATAAGAAGAAATAGGAATTACTTAAACTTTAATAAATTTATTAAATAATAAAAATATAGATTTATTATAACTAGTGCGCAAATTAAATATATCCTTATTAAAATTAAATATATTAATAATTATTAATATAAGTATAAGCTAGAGTACGATTCTTAATAAGTTAGGGTAAGGGAGAAAAAGAAAAAACCCGATTTTAAATAGAATCCTAATCTTATATAAATAAGTAAATATTAATTTAAATTATTAAGGGACGTAAATATATAGGATTACGAATTAGCTTAATAATAAGTAAATTAATATAATATTAATTTATTTAATTAAGGTTTATAAAAAAAAGGGGCTATAAGGGTAACCTCTATTTTATAAAATTATAAATAACCTTAATTATTAACTAAACGAATAGTTTATAAGTATAAGCTTAGGAATTATAAAAGTAATTAATAAATTCTTTTATAAGCGAGGGGTATTATTAATATAATTATAATTATAAGAACTATATAAAATCTTAGTAATAATAATTATAAAAGAGGAATTCGTATTATAGAACTAGGTATAGGTTAATAGAGTATATAATTACTTTAACGAATTTAAAAAAAAAGTAAACGACCTAGATTTTTTTTTATAATTATTAATAGTAATTTATTATTATAAAAGGATATATAGAAGTAAAATATAGTACTAGACGTATAATAATTAATAATTTTATTTATTTTAATTTATAGCTCGTTATTATTATTAATTTAAAATTCGGCGCTAATTAGTTAATAAAAAAAGAGATAAACGACCCGAAGTCATTAATAGTACGTAATAATATAGGGATTATATATAAATACTAAAAATATAATAATAAATACGAGGTAATTCATAAATTTTAAAGATTTTTTTTAAAAAAAGAAATTATATTTTAAGGGGAAATACGAGGTTTTATAAAAAACCCTAATAATATTTTATAACTATTATAAAAAAGTCGGGATTAGGGAATACTAATATTATTTAATAATTAATATTATATTTATAAGTAAAGCCTCTAATTACTATTATAAAATAGTATATAATCTTAATTAGAACGACTTTTTTAGTATTATTAACGTAATTTAAAGCTACTTTAAAACTTATAATAAGAATCTAGAGCTCTTATTTAAGCTATAAGTAATTTTTTTTATATTTATAACTAAGATAATAGAGGGTAAATTATAAATAAATTTTTTTAAAAAGCTTATTAATTAAATTAATAAGCTAATAAAGACCTAGTTAAATAAGGGGATTAATAAATAAAAAATTAAATATTTTTATATTATAATTTAGCGCGTATTAAAAATAAAAATAACCTTATATTAAGTATTTAAAAATTATAAAATACTCTATTTAAAGCTAAGATTTAGTTTTAATATTAAAATAAAAATACTATACTAAACCTATTTCTAAGCGTACGATAGTCCTTATTAATAATATTAAGTTAATTAGATATATAATAAAAAAAGAAAAGAGATTAAGTATAATAATTATTAATAAGGAGGCCTAGATTTATTAAATAAGTAGAGATTTAACTTATAAATAGGGTAATAAAAAAAGTAATATTTTATTTATAAAAAAGATAAATATTAGTTAAGTAACTATTTTAAAAAAAAGTATATTAAATTATATAAATAGTATAAAAAGTTAAGGGTAATAAATAGTAAAACTAGCCCTCGTCGGTTTAGTTAATTCCTTATTATATATAAGGATAGATCTAAGGGTATAAAACTTAGTAATAATAACTAAAATAGCAGCCTAGAGTATCTACTTTTTATAAAAAATTCGGAAAATAAAAAAGGTCTCGCCCCCTATATTAATAAATTAAATTATAATAAAATTAATAATATTAATTACTCTTTTTTTACCCCGTTAGTTTTTAGAGAATATATGAGGCTAAACGAATAAAAAGTAATAAAAGTTTTTAATAAGTAGGCTTTTATTTATAAATAGTAAAAAAAAGTCCCTTAAATAACGGATATAGAGGTAGATAAAAGGACGGATTTAATAATATAAAATTCTATTTTTTTAATACTTAAGGAGAAATTAGTACTTTTTTTAATATTTAAAAAAAAGAAATATAGTACTAAGTAATTCTAAGGGTAATTAGAGGGGTCTTTTTTATATTATTTAAATTACTTAAATACTAAGCTCATATAAGTATTTTATATAAATAAAAAGTACGGCTTAGATAATTTTTATAAAATTATCCTAAATATTAAGGTATTATAATAGTTAATAAGAGGAAACGGGTAATTCTAGGTACTATAGAAAATTATATTAATAATACTTAATACGTTAATAATAAGTATTATAAGAATTAGCTTTAGTTTAGGTAAGAAAATTATTATTTTAAATACGGTAAAAGTAGAGACGTACTTTAGAATAATAACTTTTTATATTTTATTTATTAATACCCTATTTCTCTTATATTTAAAAAATATAAATTAACTAAGTATTATATTTAATAATATAAAGAATAGAATTTTTAATAATTAATATTTTAAAACGGTTAAATAATAATAGGGGTATATATTTATAAGGCTTATTAATAATACGAAGTTAATTAATTATTTAATCAAAAACGAGCTTAGATAATTATATTAGAGATTTAAGTACTCGTTAGTTATAAGTCTATATAGCTTTTTAAAATAATTAAATAATAATAATATCGAAATAAGGGTACTAGAGTAGTTAACAAAAGTATATTATTAATACTAAATAAATGCGCAGAGCCTACGTAAATTTAAATTTAAATTACGTAATAAGCTTAATTTTAATTAAGAAATTATTATTGATATATTTTATTTAAATAGTTAACCGGTTTTATATATAATTAACGAGGCTATATTATTTTAAATAAGGTAATATTTTTAAGATTTATAAATAAAAATAGTATAAGTAGCCCTACGAAAATACTAAATTAATATATACTAAGGACTATTAAATAGTATTAAAACCGACGCTAATACGAGTTTTAAGTTAATAAAATTTAGGGAAAATACGACGGCTTATAGTATATAGCTAAAAGTTATACCCGTAAAAATATACTATAGTATTAAAAAAATAAAAAGGGTATATTAATAGTTAAAAAAGGCGTTTAGAATTATTAAAAAAGAAAATCCTAATTTTATTAATAACGAATACTTTTAAATAGTACTTAAGTATTATAATAATACTATAAAGCTTAATAAGCTTATATTAACACTATTAGTATTTAGAGTATATTTAAAAACGACTTTAGCCTTATTATTATTACTAAATATAAGTTAATAAGCCTAAGTAATTAAAAAAGTAATATAGGTACTACGTAAAGTAAGTATAAAAAAGTAGGTTAATAAAATAATTACTATGCGTAATAGATTTAATATAGGGGCTAATTTAGATATATTTTTAATTTTAAATATATAAGTATAATATAAAATTACTTAGTAATAAGCTAGGCTATATAAATTAATTTTTATTAATAAGCGTTTTTACGTAGTTACGAGAAATTATAACTAGCTATTTAAAGTATTAATTATAGTAGTTAGATTATATTATATAGATCTTATTAAAGTAATTTTTAATTTATAAAAAGAAAAAGAGCTAGGGAAAACTATATAACCCGTAGTAGAGGTATAAGAAATTATTTTTAACGAAATCGTTATAATAATATTAATAAATAATGAGGAAAAGGAAAATATTAAAAGGGTATTAATATTATTAATAAGACGTTATAAAAGACTATAATAATAAGCCTTAACGTAGTAATTTATTATTAATAATAAAGTATTTAATACTTTTTATATAATAAAAAAAAAAGCCGATTTCGAGTTAATAATTAAACTACGTAAAGAAGGTATTATTATTATTATTAAAAAGCTATATAAAGGATTAGATTTTATTAAAATAAATACTTTACGTAATTAAGGGGTCTATTAATTTATCCTCTATAATCTTAAGAAATATAAAGGTTTTTATATATTTAAATTACGAATAATACGTAAAATTAAAGAAAAAAGAATACCTTAACTATATAAGAAATTTAGGTATATAATTTAGGGGTATAATAATATTAAAAAGGCGACGCTATTTATTTAATTATTTATAATATAGCGCTATAGTTAATAATTAATAATAATATTAATAGTATTATTACGGAAGAAGGGATATAAAATTTAGAGCTATAATATTACTTAGGCCTATATTTAATTAGTTATAGGGCTTATAAGGAAAATCCTAGTTTACCTACTAAAAGAAATAGTTAGTAAGTACTTAGAAAGTACGATTATCGAAGTACTTAAATTATTATATAAGCTTATAGAATTAAGTACTTATTAGTAAGTTATATAGTGGTTTTTTTCCGGCTTTATAAGTATAACAAATCGACCTTAATGGGATTACGCTTTTAAGGGAAATTATATAATATAGTATACTTTTTAACTATATAATATACGTAATATACCCTAAGTACGCGCTTAATATAATATAGTAATTTTAATACGAAAACTATTATATAATTCGGAATAAGTAAGCTACCCTCTTCGTTATATAGCGGCGCTAATTAAAAAGGTTAATAATAAAGGTTAGCTATAATAATTAGTTATAATAGTTAGCTATAATAGTTAGAAGCGGCCTTTTTTAACCGTAAAAGTTCTAAACTTTAATAACGACGTAGAGGTTTTTAAAAAAAGGGCTAAATAAGCTAATATTTACTACTCTTTAAAGCTCGTAAAGATTTTTTCTATCCTTATTACTTTTAATATTACCTAAAGCTCTATTTAAATTAAATAAATTTACTAAATAAATTTACTAAATAAACTTATTAATATATAAACTACTACTTTAATAAGAACCTACTTTCTTAGTATATAGTTAATAATTAATAAGCTAAAAATACCCGTTAATAAGTTTACCCCTCTCGGGCTAGGTACCCTCTTTAACTAGCTCGACGTTATAATTATTATAACTAATATAAATATACTTAAAGATTAATAAAATACTTTTTAATAATATAAAATTTAGTTAGGTAATAGTACGAACGCTATAAATAACCGGGTTAATATAAACGTTAAGATTTAATATATTAATATTAATTTAGAAATTATATTTTATAAAGCTAAAAATCTTTTTAATATAGGTTATATTATAAATATAAGGGAATATATAAGGGGCCCCCTAATTTTTAATAAAAAAGAGTATATAATACGAGATCTAGTTACTTATACAGGCTAGTACTAAGAGGTTTTATATACGTTAAAGTGGGTATAGCTCGCCCTCTAAACGGGCGGGGGAAGGTTAAGAGCTATTTTAATTAGTAGTTAGGTATAGAGCGTAATATACTTAGTTTTCCTTAATACGTAATATATAGTACGGCCCCGGTAGATTGCTCCGTCGGGGGGCTAATTACTTTTATATATTAAATAATATTTAATAATAATAAAGATTTATTAAAAATACGTAAAAAAGCTCTAAAAATAAGAAATATAAGAACGAGACTATTTAAGTTAATTATATTATTAACTACTTTAATTACGGCCTAAAGTATAGCCTCTATGCTTATTAATAAGTACTTATTTTAAATAATATTATATACCTTTTTAAATATTACGTAATATTTCTTAGTTTTATTAATACTATTATAAGCTTTAAGAAGTACTTTTTTAACCTTAATAAATATAGACTTAGTAAAAAGTTTAAACTCTACGGTACTAAAGTTTTTATTAATATTTATAATAATTTAGTTTAGTAAACCAAAATAAACGTTAATTTAATATAATTAAAGAGCTTCTTATATATATTTTATAATTATATTTACAAAGAACCTTACTACTTAAAAAGAAATAGTAGTATTAATAACGTAAAGTACTAGTTAGTTAGTACCCTTATAATTTATTAAGTATATTATATTAATTACGATTTTATAGTTGAAATCGTAATTATTTTATAAAATAAATTTAAATTAACTAAGGGTAGTACCGTTAAGTTAGTATTATTAGTAGACCTTTATAAGCTTTTTAAGGGCTACGATTTTTATATTATTACTAAACTATTAAAATAATTTTAAAAAACAAAGAACTAAAAAGTAGCTAAAGTATTAATATAAATAGCGTAATTCGCCCTTTATTAAGTAATTAATAATAGCTTTTTTATTATTAAAAAATAAAAACTAAGGGTATCCCTATTTATAAATAATAAGTACTATAACGTCTCTTTTAATTAGTAAGTTATTAATATTATTAAAGTATATTCCTAGCTTATTTATATCTCTTAAGTAGTATAAAAAAAGAGTATTAGTTAGTAAGATATAAAAAGTAATATTATTAAATAGGGTATTAATAATTATAAATCTTAACGATTTTATAAGTTTATTATTACTAAATTAAATACCTATTTTACTAGCTCTAAAAGTATTAAAAATAATTTTAAGTCGTCGTTATTATAATATAAAAAGTTAAAAATAGCCCGTAGTTAAGAATTCCGTAGTACTAATATTAAGTATAATATTTTAAAAGTCCTTTAATAAGTACCTCTTATTTAATAAAAAAAAGGTTACTAGTTTTATAAGCTTAGTTAACTCGTTAATAAAAGTAGTATTAATAAGGCTATACTCTATTACTTAAATAATAAGGATATTTATAAGGGTTTTATTATTAATAGTAGTTATAAAATATATTATTAAGATCTAAACTTTATCCTCGTAATTACTTTTATAATTAAAATCGAAGTTATTAAAGTATTAAATTATAATATTATTATTATTATTGTTATTAATAAGGGTAGTTCTCTTATAAAAAGTAAGGACCTATAAATATAAGCTTAGTATAGATTTCTTATTCTTTTTTTTACTATTTTTATATTTTTAATATACTTAACGTTACTCTTTTTCTAAGTACTTAGTTAATTAATAACCGGTTTTATAATAAACGAAATACTTTTTATTAATAATACTACGGCCGCGTTAATTTTATTTATTAAATCGGATCTCTTTATTAGAGCTACTATAAGTATAATTAATTTAATAAGTAGTAGGGACCTTTTTATTATAAGTACTATTTTAGAGATATTATTACTATTTATTATAGTTATGCTCTTTTTTTATAATATTAATTAAAATACTAAGCTAGTAATAAATATTAATAAATATAAGTATAATAAGTTTATATAATAAGTTTATATAATAGTTTTTTTTTCGGCTTTATAAGTATAAAAAATCGACCTTAACGGGATTACGCTTTTAAAAGAAATTATACGATATAATATACTTTTTAATTATATAATACGCGCAATATATCTTAAGTACGCACTTAACGTAATATAATAATTTTAATATAAAAACCGCTATTTAATTTAGGATAAGTAAGCTACCCTTTTTAATAATAGCGCTAGTTAAAAAAGTTAATAATAAAAGTTAGCTATAATAATTAACTATAATAATTAGCCGTAATAGTTAATTATAATAGTTAGAG